TTGGTGGCATTGGCGGAGCTGCTAGAATACCTGCTGCCCATGGGAGCAGAGGAAGTGTCCCCATCCATGTTTAGAAGCTGGGGCTGGGGCATGTCTGTCTTCCTAGTGCTGTGCTTGGGCTGGCACACAGCACATGTGCAGGGGAAGAGGGGCCTAATTTTAGATCAGGGAATGAAACACTCAAAGGTCACTGCATGGGACACAATCCCAGCTGGCCTTCATGGTGACAGCCACATTGTGTTTAGACCTGGTGGGACTAATCAGGACGTCTTTTCTTGTCCAACTGCAGTTGTTTTTGCCCAGCACAGGTGCCTTCCCTGCTGAAGGATTTGCTGCCTTCTGGCATCTGTTTTTGCACAGTAGGAAAGGCTGTCCATAAACTGGTGAAAGCACTGGGGGGGGAAACCTGTGTGAAACTGCAAAAGCAGTACTTCTTTTTGAGGTCTTGAAAGCAAGGCACCAAGAAGTTCTTGTTTTGAACTTCCTTTTGGGTCCTCAAGGTCTGCCCATTACTCTTCTTGGGCTCTCTTCTGCTGTTGTTGTCTGTCCTTGATTGTCTAAGCAAATTCAGGCCTGGTGAGTGGCACAGAGGGAATTTTCCAGGGGAAATCCAAGTGGCCATGAAGACTTGACTTAATAGCCTGTGTTTCAAACCATCTGACTCAGAAACTCATTGCTTATCCTGCACTGTTGAAATCAATGGAGCTGTTGTTAGCAAATTTACTGGCAGTACAGAGAGACTCTCCATCTCTTCATAGATAGTGGCATATTCCTGAATGAGATTTACAGGTCTCCGGAGGACTTGCAATAGAAAATTCCTCTTTCGTCAACAAATATCTGAGGAATCCTGCTGGCTCTTCAGGATGATAACCTTTTTCTTTGCCTCCCCCTGCCCTGGTAGAGCCCACACTGCTGGGCTGGGTGAGGTGCTTTGTACATATTTATTCTCCTGGAGTTGTCCCAGTAGCACAGCAGCTAGACATGGATCCTCGGATCCATGAATCCAACCATTGGATGAGGTTGTCTTGGTATTTCTAACATCACCTTCATAGAACAGAAGAAAAGCTGTAAAGTAAGTAAAAATGAGTGATGGATATGAAACCCAACCTTGCAATGCCTATGTAAAGGCAGTGTTTTGATGCTGTGTTTAAAGGTAAGCCCTGTGTGTGTAATTTTAACTCCTTCAGGCTTCTATTCACCTACTTTAGGAAAAAGCATCTTCACTTGTAAGAGTTGGAAGGGCTGTCACATATAACATTAAAGCTTGGGAGTTTTTAACTGTGGAAAATAACATTCCTTTGAGGATTCTGTTCGGTACAGCCCATGAAAGCATTTTCCCAGAAGTAGAATTGTAACAGCAACAATGCAATTTATTTTTCATGTTGTGACTAGAACAATGGCATCTAAATCCACACACGGAGACCAAAGGTTAACTGATTGTGGAGATGCGGCAGTTGCTCGTTGCAATGGATTGTGAATAACTCTGGGAAATTGAACAATATTGCTGTGAGTTTTGCTGCCTGCCTGTAGGCAGTTTTATTAACTGAAGATTTTCTCCTACACTGGATGTTTAATAGAGCAAAACTAGGCATCCATTCAAGTATTTCTGCCCTATTGCAAGCCAAACAAACCCTTTTATTTTTTTATTTTTTATTAATTCGCTCAGAAGAGACAACCTAGAGCTGTTCCAGTGTTTTAATCCCTTGCAAAAGGCATTTTGATGGAAATGAGAAATCTCAGGCCCAAAAGCAGAGGAAATGGTATGTTCAGGTTCAGGCCCCTGCCAGTGGGCAGCACTGAAATGTCACATATGGGACTCTACCATGAGGGCTCCTGGCAGGTGCTTTCTTGCCACAGTGTACATAACCTTTGCTGCAACACTAAATGCCACCATGCCAAGGGCATGCCCAGCCTGGGAGGGTTGCAACAGCTGCAACAACATCCTGGCCAGCACTGCAAGTGTGGGATCTACTCAAGGGTAGCATAAAATATATTTGAATTATGTCCTAGTTTTGGCTGTGATAGAGTTAATTTTCTAGTAGCTGGTGCAGTGCTGTGTTTTTTACTTTAGACTGAGAATAATGCTGATAACACCAATGTTTTAGCTGTTTCTAAGTAGCCCTTACCTTAATCATGGACTTTTCAGTCTCTCAGGCTCTGCCAGTGAGAAGGAGCAGAAGAAGCCGGAAGGAAGCAGAGACAGGACACCTGACCCAAACTAGCCAAATGGGTATTCCATACCACAGCACGTCATGCCCAGTATATGAACTTGGGGGGAGTTACCTGGAAGGGCAGATCACTGCTCTGGTCGGGCTGGGTATCGGTCAGTGGGTGGTGAGCAGTTGTATTGCGCATCACTTGTGTGTATTGTTGTTTTTTCCCTTTACCCCTTCTGGTTTTATATTTTCTTCCTTTGTTATTTGCCTTATCATTATTATTATTATCATTAGTATATTGTCCTTTAGTTATTAAACTGTTCTTATCTCAACCCATGAGTTTTGCATTCTTTTGATTCTCCTCTCCATCCCGCTCGGGGTGGGAAGGAGGGGTTGAGTGAGTGGCTGAGTGGTAGTATGTTACCAGCCGGGGTTAAACCACAACAAATGACTTGTTAGGAATTTACAGATATAAATGGGGAGTGTTACACTGGAAGATTATTAGAGTTCTGCATGACTGCGATAAATACAGGAAGGCAAAGTTCTCATTTGCTTGGTGTCCTCAGGCATGTAGTTATGTGGCCGTGGCCTACAGGAAGTTCTTGTAGCTCTTTAAGAGCTATTCCACATTTGGCACACGTTAATTTATACCAGTCTGTACCTTTCACAAATACTGTCTTATTATGTAATAGTAAATAGTTTAAAAATACTGTGTCCAATATATGTCCAGCAATCTGACTGACCTCTTGATGGGAGAGGTGGGCCAATCCCAGTGCTGACATTATGTCATCAGTAGCAGTATTACATAAAAACACCCTTGAGGGATGGAAGTGCACAGTGATGCTGAACAGAGCATTCTTGTATCTGCCCCATGTCCAGAGAACCAAATTGACTTTGGAGCAGTAAATCCAGCCGCAAGATTTCATGAAAAAATATGCAGAATACAAAAGATAAAGTTTTGCTAAACATCAGTACTTTGGAGAACTGTTTGCTGGACAGTGTCAGGCCACATTGTCCAGCTCACGAAGTGGATGTAACACTGCAATCCACTTCTCACTGAATATCCTTAATATTTTAACCCAGTTGAAAGCTCTTTGCTGAAAGATGCCACATGGCAGAGAGCTAACCATTGTAGTGCTGCTGCGCTAGAAGATTTTTTCTGGAATATTTTGACTGATTAGGATCCTCAGCTCAGGTACAGACTCCTGTGCTTTCACTGCACTGTCTTGGTATTGTTCCTGCCTTGCTTGGAGCAAGCCTATTTTCCATATCTTCCAGGAAAGGAGAACTTCACTGAGTGAAATTTCTGAAATGATAGCACCCAGAGGCTGGTCTCAGATGCCAAACCACAGCCCAAGGGCTATCCTGGCTGCAGGCACTGTTCCCTTGGACAGAGAGTACTGGAAACACTGCTTTTCACCCCAAACTAAGTCAAATGCTATTGTGAAAGAGCAGAGACCTTCAAAACAAGAATAGTATCTGTCACCACCCACGCAGTGCTGTGAGTTGAGCCGGATCACCCCCTGCCCCAGCTCTGAAATGCAGCATTAACCCCTGAAAAGCTAAATCTGGACAGTTTAGCTCTTCAACTTGGTTGTAAACTTTTGAGAAAGACTTATTCACCAGGGATGTATCTGCTTGGGCCCTCCAGGGTATAAGCGAGCTCAGTCTCCCAGTGGGGGATGTAACTGTGTGCCGGCATGGGAATAGGGCTTGATTGTGCAAAACAAACAGAGGGAGTTAACCGGGTAATAAGTGAGTTCCTTGGCACTTTCCTACAAGAGCAACATGTTTCACAGTAAAAGCCCTGAGAAGCTTCTCCTCTCTTTTATTGGAATGTGGAAAATGGTCCTAATGAACACCGGGTGTTTCACAGAAGGCAGCTGGACAGCAACACTCATTTCAGAAAGCACAACTCTTCCTCTCCCCTTGCTTGCTTGGGTGTCCCCAGGATCTGCTCTGTGGCCTCAGACAAGCATCCTGCTGCCAGGGAGGGACCCCAGCTCGGCAACACCCTGCAGCTTACTCTCCGCCTGCATTGCTGTAGGGGCAGGAGAGGGACTGAACCGTAGTCTTGCTCTGATGGGGTTAACCTTAAACTGGTTTGCTCAAGAAAGCAGCAGGAGAGCAGCAGTTCCCAGAGGATGCAGGCTGTGCTCCTGCCACTGGCTCACAGGATGCCAGGCTGCAGGAGATCTGGGTGTCCCAGGAGAGTCTGTGACAAAAGGCAGATCATTGTGCCCAGCCTTTTGCCGTGACTTCAGGGTAGCAACTTTCTTTTATTAGAAAACGGAAGCTGAGGGCCTTATCTAATCCAAGGGCCAGGCAGCTGGAGCCTGAGGAAAGGCAGCTTCTTTGTGGAGAGACTGCCAGTAAAATAACAAGATTGAAACCCATTGTACCATATACATTTGAAGCATTTGGGAAAATTCCTGTGTTGCAAATGCCTTGCATGAGGTGCTTGGATCAGGGGTGTACACAGGGCAGAGGGAAATTTCTTATGCACAAAACTCGCTGAGGCTTCAGTGCCTCAAAACCTGAGCTCCTCTGAAAATTCAGTGATGTCTCAGACTGCAGATGCCAAAGTTGAAATTCCCTTTTTATCCCCCCAACTTAGTCAGTGCTTTTGATAAAACATAAATTTCTTAGCACTCAATCCCTTCCCCTCTGTTAGGATGGGGCTTCTGGGGAGTGTAATCCAGGGGTCCCTGCTTGCACCATATTCCCAGGAGAGGGAAGGGGAGCTCAAAAGTATTCCTGAGCTCTGCACATCTGACAGGAGATGCAGATGAAATTTTACTTCTCTTTCCCCATAGCAAATATGGAAAGTCACCAAGCCGAGGATTCACAGGAATTGTCATGAGCTGTATTAAAGAAAGATGCAGGACACAAAATTCTTCCTAAGATTTCCTGCCTCAAGCTCTCAATTTATACCTCATATTTCAAAGCCATCTTTAAAAAAAAACAACTTGTCTTGACTGTGGAGACAGCAAGTCTATGTCAGAAAAATTTTCATATGATGACTGTGAATTAAAGGTGCACTCTGTATTCCTTATCCATCAGAACAGCTCCCTTGGCCTGTCACCAGTTCCTGCTGCTCACCTGGGCTGAAATTTATACTGGTGCAAACTGGAGCAAAGAAAATGGAAGAGGCTCACTACTGATGCTCTAAGCTCTGCAGCAAACATTAGTTTTCAAGGTTATGCCATGTCCACATTTATCACATTGATTGATAAACCATAAACATGTCTCTGCACAGAGGCTTGGATTAACTGTGGAGGACAACTGAGAAGATAAATTGGATTAACTAAAATCAGTTTTGTATGGCTGTAGGCTGCTGGAGGTCTCTTTTACTCAGTCAGATTGTATCAGATTTGTTAAAATACTTTTGAACATAGTGGTGGCATGGTGGCCCTTTACCCTGGGACAAGAGGATTTGGAGCTTCCCTCCATATCCAGTCCAGACATGTCTGTCCACACAGAAAGGCTGTGATAGCATGAACAGGTCTTTGGTCCAACAGGAGTTTTTCAAGGCAGCTCACATGTGAGGAAAATCTGCTGAAAAAGCAGAAGGGCCATAGGGTCCATCCTGGAGCGCAGAGTGGTCCATGTGCTTCACATCCCAGCTGTGGGGTTTGGGTACCCTCCAAGGGTTTCCTCCTCAGGCAGGTAGTGGTTTGTGGCATCAGGTCACAGCATCACTGACCTTGCGTTATGCCAGCTCAGTCAGCTGGTTCACAGAGGAGGAAATAGGACTTGGGTGCTACCACATCCCTGCCCAAGCTCTGCCTTTCGGTTGTTCAGGGACAGTAATTATGAAGGAGGTTCTTGTTCTGCTGCTGTATAATTGTACAATGCACAGTGCAAGCCTTAATATAACTCTGAGTGAATTCCTTTTGGTTTTCACCTGTTCTCTGAAAAGAGATTCAATCTTGAGCCAAACAACAGAGCATTCTCCTAGCAATAAAATCTGTATTGAACACAGGGTGAAGGCAGTGCTTGGGCTGGAGTTGCTCCCAGGAGCTCTTGCAGGAGGTCAGTGACTTGGTGCATCTGTTGCCTTTGGTTTCTGAACTCAGGGTAGCAAATTCAGAAAACTTCTCCTTTTCCTACAACAATCAAAAAGTTGTGCTTGCAGAGGGGTGAGGCAGGGAGCAGGGTTTGGATCATGCCATAGAGACAGCATAGGAGGAGGAAAGATGCTGACCTCTTGTCATGGTTGTTTTAGAAGCAGCTGGTGATCACTGGGACATCAATTTCAGCGAAGAGTGTGCTGCCCTCCCCACCATCAGGGCTCTCCGGCACATGGTAGCCTTGCCGAAAAATCGCTGCTCTCCTGGTGCGCCCCAGCCCCCGGAGCGCGAGGATCGCCAGGACATGCTCCTTCCTGCAGAAGCCAAATGAGACTTCACTCAGTCCTGTCGAGCAAAACCAGCTGGAGACAGCATAAAGTGCCTGGGAGCATCCCCTTGCTGCACTGGATGGGGGTCTGCAGCATCCGGAGGTGCTGAGCCAGTGAGCATCAGCTCCTACCACCCGGTGCTGCTGGGACACCACCGGTCCTGCTGCTGGTGCTTCGGGGAATTCCTCCTCTGTTTCCACACACATATGATGTCATTTGCAAGTTTTCCTGAGAGGCTAAAGACCTTTTATTTGATGATTATTTTGAGCTGAGAAATGGAAGAGCTGTTTAGGAAGCTGATAGACACTAATTAGAGTAGAGCTAGGAAAGCCAATTTGGAAACATATCCTGTTCCAGTAATCTCAGCATATACAAAATCAGCAACATCTCCAGGAGCTCAGGGGAAGAATTACCAGAGACCTGAACAGGAAGCAATGCAGGTCCAGCAGGTTCCTCCCTGTTTTACAGACTTAATGGTTAAAATAATATTACTCAATAATGGAAATAAAATAATATTACTCAATAAAGGAAATAGATCAACAAAGAGTATGAACCTTAAAACCTGGCTTGGGTAGAAGGCTAATGATGAAAAAGTACCACAATCACAGCCTTGTAAATGGCTTTTCTGCCTGGAAAATTGTTTTCAAATAACTGAGTCTGACTAGCCATCATTTACTTCCCCCATCCTTCCCAAAAGAGGCACTGCCTCCTTCATCAGCTTAGTCTGGCCACTGGGGTTCAGGCTTCTTTGTAGTTGTTGCTGGATAGGTGTGTTCGTGTAGAAAATTACTGAGGAAAAATTATTCCTTTTCAAGTCCATGTCTTGAATTTCCCCACACAGATAAGCCTGATACATATCTGACTCGCTCAAGTTAAATAAGCCTATGAAAAATTTTGAGCCTCAGTTTTGTGGAAAAAAAATATATATATTTAATGTTGGGGTTTTTTTCTTAATATTCAAGGGTCCACTTCAGTGTTCTGGGCAAGTTGTTAAATCTATGGTATTTTGACTGTATAAATGTTATCCAGCAGGAGCTCTGTAACCAGCACAGTGCAAAAACCTTTGGTTTTCTTCTGAAATGACCCTGATGAAATGGAATATTTTGCAAGCTGTACCACTAATGTTCCTTCTCAATGAGTGGCAGGAAGCTGCAGAAGACGAGGTAACTTCTGATATGCAGCTACTTAGCTATGCACAGAGCTAGTCACTCTATTTACTCTTCCAGGAGCCTTAAATTTTGCAGATGCTGCTTTGGAACAGCAAATGGAAAGTACAGAAGAAAGAATTTGTAATTTAATCCAAAACTTAGTGGTTGTGTTGAAGCCCTTTCAGGAACTGCAGCTGAACTCTGTCAATGTCTGCTGCACTTTGAAGTCTGAGCTTGGGAACAGGAGACAAACTATTTGCTCCAAAGCTGAAGCCTACAAGTTGGCAAGCTGGGCTGATACTGGTGATGCACTGAAAAGCAGCCTCAAGCTTTACAATGAAACAAGATTGATCTGGGGGAATAAAAAAGTATCCTGCAATAGGAGGCATGGGAATGGTTCAAAGCTGTGCAAAGAGAGCTTTAGACCTGACATTGGGCAGCATTTCTTTACCCAGAGGTTGATCACACACTAGAACAGGCTTCCAAGAGTGGTGGTCAATTCCCCAAGCCTGTCAGTAATTAAGAGGCATTTGGACAATGCCCTTAACACCATGTGTTAACTTTTGTACAGCTCTGAAGTGGTCAGGCAGTTGGACTAAATGATCCTTGTAGGCCTTTCCAAACAGAAACATTCTATTCTGTTCTATAAATGCTTTTGAGGTAATTTGTGTGCAACATAAGATCCAGCAGACGGGGAAAAGAGAAAAATTATACAGCTATAAATAAAGAAAAGTAAGGTGGGATTCCCTCTGTTGCTGGCACCTTAACCTCTGATGTGTAGCTACCAGCAGAGAAGCTGAAGAGCTTGGGGAAGGCATGGGGCAAGATGGCACTTTTTGGGACGAAGCCCAGCTGTTTTGGCATCTGCTGTTTCATGTACCTGATATCTGGATAATCCTGACACAGCTCCTTGACGTACTCCTTGATTTTGTCTTTTTTCTTCTCCCCAATGATATTGGCAATGTGGTGCATGGCGGGAACGAGCCAGTCAGCGTCAGAGCCCTGCAAACAAAGAGGCACAGGGGACCACTGGGGGGAGATGTACTGCCCTTGGGTGGGCAGGGTGCTGCTAGGGGACAGCAGCGTACTGGATGAGGCAGCTTTGGGCCGCAATGGCAAGGCATCCCAGGAAGCTCTGCTGGGGCCTCCTTGATGCTCATGAACACCCCAGTGACCCAGGCCCTGGGCTGGGCGTTGTGGCTGTGGTCTAGCACAGCAGTGAATGCCAGAGATTTCACCTCCTGCAGCCTAGTAGTTTCACGTGCCTCACCTCTGAGAGGGATCTGCCTCCACAGGGTTTAGTGCCCTGGACACCTGACTTTCTGCAGAATCCAAGGAATTCAACTGTGGTTTTCCTGAAAACCCCAGACTTAGGCTGCCTTGTCACAAAACATGAAAACAGCCACAGTTTTCTCCCCATCGCTTTCTGGTATGCAGACTGTGTGCCTGGATGGACCTTCCATGTGGACTCATCTCCATGAGCTGTACCAAGGGCAGAGATCCTTTTGAGAGAAGTTGCATCCCATGGCCCAAGGGAATAGGCCCAGGAAGAAGTTGCCATGGGATGAGTGTGATCCTACAGCACATGAACCACCCTACACAAAGCACCCATGCACCTGGGTGTGTTAAAACACCAGACACTGCAATCAGAGAGCCTCCAGCTGAGCATGCACAAGCCCCTACTACAAGAGTAGCCACTGTGCTGGAAGTCCACACCATGAACCAGCAGTAATCACTTTACTTTCTCTCTTTTAAGCGCTTTCACATTTCTTGAGGCTTGCTCTCCTCAAAAGCCTGCCTGCTGGGTCCCCTGGGAGCCAAGTGGGGACATTTCACCTCTGGGAATGGGGAAGCCAAGGGATGCCAGGAGGGAACTCACATACCTGATCAATGAGCATATTATGAATGATTCTGGCTTCCTGGTTCATCTTGTTGCTCACTTGCTGCCGAGTCTCCCTGTTCATTTTCCATCTGGGTTTGATGACCAACGTGATGTATTCCCTCACCACGTACTTATGAACATCACGTAGAAGCTCCTGGTTAAAAAAGAGCAAGCCTCACATTTTCAACTTGGTTCCCATGCAAGGCCATGGCAATGAGAGAGGACAGGGGAAGCCCTCAGGTCTTTAGCAGCAGCCAAGAGTATAGAGGAGGTACACAAATGCAGCAGATGGTCAGCACACGCTGCCCAGGCCAGCCCTGCTGAAAGGAGCTGACTGCTCGCAACACTCACTCAGGCACAGAGTTATGGCCATGGAAATGTGCCTCCCCAGTGAAGTAACCCTTGAGGGTCAGTTTGGACCCTCAGTATCGAAAGGAGAAATTTAGGATTGCTTTAAAAGTAGGGTTTGGTAGTGCTTGCAAATTTTAAACATAGAGCTGTTGTCAGCCACCTGTTTATTTTACAACCGCACAGATGTGAAAGGAGCTGATAAGCCTGCAACTCACGGAATTGTAATGCTCAGTGATGAAGTTCACCAAAGGTTTTTGTTCCTCTTTAAAGAAAGAAGATCCCATATTTAAACTACGGAAAGGAAAGGTGTTGCTTATTCTCACTTGGAAGTATAGCAATAGCTTGAACTCCCCTGCATCAGCAGTGCCCACAGTTATATAAACAGCCCCCGCCGCAGGTCTGACCACAGCCTGCAAATGACAGTGGTACCCCCCGACATCACTGTGCCCAGGGGACCAGCTGCCTACCTGCCCCATGGGCTCCCTCATGTGCTGCAGGTGCTTGGAGAACTGTGAGACTGCAGACGCCAGCGAGTCTGGCCTTTCCATCAACAAAATCCAGTCCTTGGTCAGGATTTTCTTAAGGAGTGGCTGCAAAAGAACCAATTCACTGATGGCACTGGTAATATTCAGACCCTGTGGATGCACTAGTCAAAGGCACCCGTCTATATGTCTTCTCAGTGTGGCTGCACCAAAAAGCACAGAACACTGATGGCACACTAACTCTCTGTGAGACACACTAGGAGTTAGGCACCAGGGGTTTCTCTTTTCCCCCTGGGAATTCAGAGCCACATCTCCCCTTTCTGAGTAGGTGGCCCAGTGCAGACAGAAGCATCACTCCCTGAACAGGAGATGCTTTGGCATTAAAGGCCAAATGGGACACCCCATTTCCTTGCTTTGTGCTGCTTTCTAGCCCATGAGCTATATTTCTTTAGGTAAGTATTTGTATTCCTACCATAGGGATGAAGAAACAGGTGTGAATGTTAACCAGGCATGGCTAGAACAGGCTGTGGTGTGCAGCCATGTATGCTAGCATTACACAGGTTTGCACTAGCTATGGACATGACAAGTCAGTTGGTAGCGAATCTGTTGGAAATTATCCCAGTAATCTGTCACCCCTCCAGCCTTCCCTACAAGGAAATTATAAATCTCTTTCTTGAAGCACTTACAGGGGGCTGTCTGCACTCCCTGCAGACCCATGTGTCTGCACAAAGTCTCACTGTGATTTTACTTCTGCTCATTTCTCTGATGGGGGAGGGAAATAGCAGCTGCAAGCATCCCCAAATTGATGCCTTGTGGTCAGTGTTGATGTGGGAGCAATGGCACTGTTTCCTGTCTGTCTTGGGTACAAGGAGCTCTGACCAAAATTCCCCAGTGGGTTACTTCCCTTGCTGAGTCCCTAGAGCTAATATGCCTCGACATAGAAACACGGCAATATCTGCGAAAGGCTTCTGGGGACACCAGGAGGAGACTGGAAATATCCCTAAGGGATCCTAAGGCTAAAATAACCCTTCTCCACCACATTCCCTGTGTACTTTTATTCTCTTAGCTCTAAGGATTCTGTCTTTATATTCCTGGCAACCTCCTTCCCAATGATTTTCCCAACTTGTGCCCTCCTGCTGTGCTCCCTCCTGCTGGAGGGCTGTTTAGAAATGCTTTCTCTGCTCTCAGTTCTCATGGTATTTTGTCCCTCTTTCGCAATGCCTTGGCTTGACTCCTTCCTTGCCTGTCCCTTAGGCTCCAAGACAAGCTCTACAGTTACTGGAAAGTCCCATTGGCCAGGGAGGTTTGGCTTAGACAGGAGCAGTTGCAGTACTGTCTTGCTTTCTGCAATGACCTCTTATGCTTGGTGATTTGGAACAGGAATTAGGTAGGTCAAAAGAGGTGGGACCAAAAGCTTAGTTTCTTTCATCTCTCATACCAGCTAAGGCTAGTGGACCTCATATGGCTGAGAGCAGATAGTGCTGTCTACATCACCCAGGAAGCACAAACTGCATAGCAGCAAGTTGCCTTTTAGGCCTCTTTACATAAGTTAAGCTGATATCAGAGCTTTATCAACTGATAGCATCCTCACACTGAAAGAGTCAGTCTTTCTTCACCATGGAAACAGCCTGGAAAAATCACAGAATTCTGTCCTGTCTGAAGAGACTGATAACTCCATGATCTTAAAGGTCTTTTCCAACCTAAATGATTCTATGATTCTGTAATAGACCTTGATGGCAGATCTACAAATAAGTGTAAGTCAAAGCCCTGAAAAATCCAAATATTTTGATAGATGGAAAAATGTCCTATTGGTGGTGTCCAGCTGATTTCTCAGTGCTTCCCGATGGGTAAAGTTTCCCTCTACTTCTTTGCCTGAGATGCTGGAAGCCACTAAATAGTCTTTTTGTTGTTGTTGTTGTTGTTGCCATTGTGCTAAAGTAAACAACTTGACAAATGTATCATTGCTCATAGGGAAAAACTCACAGGATGCTTTGGGTTAAGGAGGATTTCTACACATGTTAGACACAATGCATTTTGGAGGGACCATAATGCCATGCACTGAAAAACAAGGTCTACTTGGCAAAACAAAGGAAGGGAGGTAGTCCTCAGCTGCTGCACTGGTCCTGCACATACCTGCTATAGTTACAAACCAGTGTGCCCAAGATGCTCTTACCTGTGCTTTTTTTCGTAGTTTGTTTGAAAATATACTTGTGAAGTTCCTTGTCAGAGCTGCCACAATCTTCTGCAGTTCCTCAGTGTTGACTTTAAACATTGCTTCTAACCCTGACCTAGAGAGAGACACACGCACCACCAATGTGTTAATGTTAAAAGGTAAACTATTACATTGCCACTTTATCCAAATTGGCATCTTGGGTGTTAGTTTAAGTAAATTTGTGTAGCTAGTACTTCCGCTTGGAAACACCTACTGGGTCAAAGTAATGACTCTTTTACACAATCCTATACAGTGAAAATTAACCACAACTGAATAACTGTGCTTAAAAACCACCTATTTCCTCATCAGGTGGGATGGTTCAACCATGCAGAGGAGTTGTGTAGGCTGGTTACATTTTCACTTGAGCAACATTTCTGCTAAATGATCTCCAGGTTCCTGAGAGAGCACTGGGGCATTATGGGGTAAGGGAGACATAAATAATAAAGCCAAAGAAGGGAAAGCTGCTGACCCTGTGTCCCCCAGAGCCTGGCTGACTCACTCCACACAATATCTATTGGCAGCAGTGGGGATGGTGAATGACCAAGGTGGAAACCCATGGAATTTCCTAGGGACAGTGCACATTTTCACACTAATGAGGAAGAAAACACAACTTCAGAGAGATTAATGAAATCCCCAGCTGTATGTGTGGGCTTTGGGGTACGTCGCAAGTTCCTGGATTTCTTCTCACTTTCGATCCTTTCCTCATTGTAACATGCTCTAGGGGGAACCAAAGCAGTATCACCAAAATGCTAGTGGTTCCTGAGCTTCCCGGGATGTGACACATCCACTGCTGTGACTAGAGTGTGACGGGTTCCTGCCACTGCCCAGTAGCTATTTTGTTATGTCTGAAGCTGCTGAAGCAGGACTACGAAACACCTCACAGCATCCCTCTTACCCCGGGTTGGGGCTCAGGTACATAACTCCTGCTGAGCACCACAAGTCTGGGTCTAGCATCCCCAAAATCATGCTATTAGGTCACCTACCTCTGCCTTGCAACTCGTCACCCTAGGCTGACAAAATGTTTAACTCGACTCGGGAATAAACCATCCAAACACCTTCCAGCTCCTTGCCTGAGGCTGGCTTCTCCCTTCGCCATGTTACAGTCCCCAGCAGGGAAGGGAGAGCAGTTTTCCGCAAGGGCAGGAGGAGGCAGAGAAAGCCAGCTCGTCGGCGAGGTTAGCATTGCTGGGGAGACCCTGCCATCTAGAGACTTCCAGGCGGTAGTGCTCACTGCGGCTGGAGCCGTCGGCCGCTGTGAGCATCGCAACGCGAAATCCTCTGCATGACCTGCATGCTATTTGGCAGACAGCACCCCTGCGGCAGGCAGTGCCAGGCAGCAGCACAGCGGCATGGGCTGGAGGTAACATCCCAAGGTGGCCAGACGCCCGGCATTAGCCCCGTGCCACTTGGCTGAATCGGCCTCTGATGAAGCACCACATCTGCACGGCAGGGATGACCCCAGATGCTGGAAAGCCCCTGAACCTTCTTGGGCTGTGTCCTTGCATGGCTGCAGAACATCCCTCTCAGGGGAGTCTTTGATAGGCAGAGCTGGTGGGCATACCTGCTTATCACAGGCCTTTTCAATGCATGGCTTCAAATAACTAATTCATAACACGTGCAAAGCTCTATAAGTTGCTGCTGCCAGCAGTGATGGCAGGGGTTTATTTGCTGCTTTCACAGATTCTCCTCCAGCCCAGTGCCAAAAGCAGCCTTTGTACTGGGTTTGTGGTGCTAAACTACAGAACCAAAAATGAAATAAACCCACCTCTGAGGCTGAAAAGGGTGGGCTGAAAATTAGCTTAAATCTTTCATGCATGCATCACATCCATCCCTGCTTCTGACTCTTCACCCTTGTGACTTTAATCTTCATCTCTTGGGGAGCATCCCTTCATGAGGGGAGGAAGGGCTGTAGGCTGAGCACCCAGTGGGGCACCCCAAGGAGACTTTGGTCTTTCCTTCCTGGATGCTGCCACCCTCCCAGACCCCAGCAAAGCAGCAGCTCAGTTTGGGGGCAGCAGACTTACAGCAGGTCATGAAAGTTGTTGATGTAGGCGACAAAATAGGGTGCAAAGATGGGGCTGTCCTGGGCAGTGCTCCACACTACAAACTCCTCCTCGAACCTGTGGGAGAAGACACACAGGTAACACTAATGGTGGGGGAGCCACAGATTGCTCATCTTATGTGTACACAGTGGTGTCAGGAGACACTGGTGGCTGCCCCAACCTATCCCCTGTGTATAAGGACATGTTTTTACCAGCTGTCGTAACATGCGTGTGCACTGGAGGGGAATAGATGGCAGATAATTATGGGTTTAGGGTGTGCTTGCCTGAGCAGGTACACACCACTTTTGGAGAGTTGCCAGGGATCTCAGCACATGAAATCTCTGCCTTTTCCTCACACTGAGGGATTAATTGCAGCTATGGTACTCAGGCTCATCAGTCTGGTTCTTCATTGCTCTGGCTTTTGGGGCAATATAATTTGTGCCCTCTTAAGCACACAGGGAAAGGGTTTACCTCAGGGCTGATTTTCCAGCAGAAACGGAATAGGAATGGGGATACATGCCTACCTTTCCCCCCATAACCTCAGCTGCTGTTTCTGTGTAGCACAGCAGTCACGGTTTTGACAGCTGTTTTACAGCCAGGTCCACACTGCTGGCAAGAGGCTTTGTGCTCAGGCAGGCTTTGCTTGGTGGCCCCATTCTTTGTCAGGAAAAAGGAACCTGCTTGGGCTAGCCTCAGCCCAAGCATCTTGGGTTGGTTTAAGAAAAAGCTGAAGTTTCAGTGGTCTTTCATATGGGACCCCTTTATGTTGCAGCTTGCATTTTATGCCAACTTGCTGTTTTTTTTAAAAAAAAAAGGAAAAAGAAAAGGAAAAAAAGGAAAAATATTTTGACAGATAACAAAGAAAAAGGAAAAAAGGAACAGAGGAGAGGAAAAAAGCAAATAAATGGGGGTGTGGGGGCTGTGGGAGAAGAAGAAGTAATGGATGGAATATCAGTACTATGTTTCTCCTCTAAAACCCAGAGAGACTTCAAAGCCAAATAGCTGGTTTGAACTACGCTGCTTGCTCAGGACATGGGAGACAAATATAGATCACTGGGCTACTAGATATGAAAGGGGCATATAGATTGGGATATAGATACAAACAGGAAAAGCACTGCCTTTAGTGCACTTTGGACTCCTGGCATGCCCTGAGTTCATGATCATGAGCTCTCTGGCTCACTGTCCTCACTCCTGCAAAACGTCTATTAGCAAACTCCCTGGTCAGTGCCTGCAGCAGGTGAAAAACTTTAAAGGTTAATGGCAAAGTCATTTTAGTCTTGCTTGGAGCTGGTTCATCCTGAGCAGCCTTTCTCACCTACAGATGACTGCTCCGGAAAGTAGCTGCAACCCCTCCAAAACACAGCCCCACCGGAGTTGCTGGCACCCTCTGTGAGCCAAACCCCTTCCCTAGAGCATCCCCAAAGCATGTTGTAAGGAGTAAGATCTGAGGCCATAACCTGGGGACTACCAAACAGAAAATTTCAGCAGAGACGTGGGATCCTGTGTCCTTTGGCCAATGGGTAAATTTTTAAAAGACTCAGCCTTAAGTTTTGCCTGGGTGTAACACAAAGGATTCCATCTGCAAGAGAAAAACCCTCTCAGCAGGGCTCTCCCCAGGACACCCAGGTAATGTTTTGGGCAAGCAGGGTCTGGATCTGAAGATTCGTAACTGCTACTTGCTCATGGTTGCAGCTGCAACAGACCAGCATCCAACACCAGCAAGATCCCAGAGCAGCTAGCATTTACTTCCTGGAGCTCTGACCTCAGATTTTGGGACTCCCAAGAGTCCTATCTGGGTCTGTTTATGACTCCTGCTGAGTTGTTCTGCAGCTTGCTTATTGTTGGGCTCATTGTCATCTCTAATTCTCTCAGGAGCAGGCCCATGCCTGCTTGATGCCAGCGTCTGGCTCAGTGTCTGGACCTTTTCCCTGCTTTTTTACCAATGTGGGACTCATTTGAAAGGAATGTGCTGCCCGCAGCGGTGATGACCTTGGTATGAATTCACGCAGCTCTGCCAGACACAGCTCAAGCATTTTTGTTTCCAGGCTTCTGCTGATTGCTCTAGATATCTTCATGTGCTCCCCGATGATCTAGAGAAGGTCACAAAGAAAACTCTCTAGTGAAGGGACAAGCAAGGGCAAAACATCCTTCACAAGGGTATCACGCAGCCTTGGTTAATAAAAGTGACTTGCCTAGCAAAGGGGCAAATGGCCCACTTGTTGCCAGGCGTTTTTCATTATTCTCTGGCAGTTCTAAATGTAATAAACCAGGATGGGCCAAGAGGCACAAACTGATCTGTGGCATAATCATTGATCATTGATGCCTAGGGTTAGGCATCACCCAGAAACCTTGCTTGCACTGGGGCCCCTCCCTACCTCCCATTCCCACAACTGTGCTGCCTCTCTAGAGTGAGGCAGCCTGCTCTAGCACTTCTTGAGGCATCCTACCCATCTGCTAATCCAATTCAGACATTCCTTCCCAGTAATCACACAATGTGTAATATTCCTCTATGGAAAAAGAGTCACTGTAGCAGGCAAAACTCTTTGATTTTCTTTCTTTTTCTCTCTCTCATTTAATTGAAATGACTCAACCTTTTGAGTGAGGAGAATGAATCAAAACCCCTCCTGGATTTATTACCCTGTAGTCTCTAAAGCTAGTAGGAGCTTTTGTTTTTGTACTGTTTAAATTGGAGTGGCTGTCACTGCCTACTGCCTTTCTGTGGCTGCCACAGCCCCAGGACAAAGACGCTCTTTCAGCCAAAGGGTTTTTCTAACAAACCTTTTCTTTCCACCTCTTTTTTCCTTTCTCCTTCTTTTTTCTAATCAAAGAGATTTAAGGGCTTTAAAATCAGTTGCCTATTATGTTGCTGACACAATTGACAGCAGGTTTAATTTGCAGCTAGAAGGCAAGCGGGAGAGCTAAAAGTTGTAATAAACAGCATTTTCTGCTCTAATGTATTCTGCTAGTGCGTGACTAACATAAATTATCGCAGGAGGCAGTACCTCCACCCCAGAAGGTAATGATCCCGTTTCCCTGGAGCCACAGAGCCCCCCGCACTTTGCCCCGGTTCATTAAATACCGTTTGAATATCTAAGGAGAGTGAGGACTGGTAGAGATTTTCCTTCACTTCTGGGTGAACTTCCTTCTCCCACTTCTCTGTGACCTCCAGTCTCAGGATGTTTCCAAAATAGCTTTTGATTTTTCCCTAAATGTTTAACATAGGAAGGAAACATCCAGCTCAGGATAATGAAGCAAACATGAGAAAACTGCATCTGTGCATTTTGCTCTCTTGGCATATATATAAGGCTCATGTGTGTGGTGCAGAAAGGTAAGCAAAGTCAAAGGTCTTGCTCCAGACCCTGTCAGGCTACACAAGATCTCAGGAAAAATCAGGAGCTGTGGTTTGTGGGGGCAAGGTACAACTTAAGCAAGAACAGATCTCCTGGCAGGGGAATGTTTTGTCAGCTGCTTGACTGCTTGATTGCAAAGTTCTCCAGCAAGTGTAAGACACAAGGTCAGGATTAAAGATCAAACTGGTCCTTTCTGGCAGCACAGCCACTTGAGTAAGTGGCAGCATGGTTCAGTCCTGGCTGATAAATCAGTCTTGTTGCCAGTAAAACAAAATGATCCTTCACCAGCACAATAGAGCAATACTAATTGTCGAATAAGCTGGGTACCTTGAGCTCACCTTGAGCAGTGCCCTGCTTCAGAAATGGTTTGCAAGAAGATGACTGAACCCAGCAAAGAGCCAGGAAAGCACAGTCTTACACAGGGTCCCAGCTAAGGATGGCAGAAAGGCAACTGAAGAAGGGGCTTCCTAGGGGGAGTGAACCATGGGATGATCCTCTGGCAGCGTCACGTCTAGAGTTGTCTGCGTATAGCAAACCTCAGATGTGCTGGAGGAGATCATGTGCTGTGAAAGTAGCAGCTCAAATGCCTTTACATCTGGCTTTGAAGTGCGTTCAATCTGCTGAAGCCCAGCTATGACCTTTCGGTAAGCCTCTGTGTGGGTCTAGTACAGTCCCTTTGGCTCTGTGATTATCCAGGTTCAGGCTCATGGCCTGCTTTGCTCCCTGCGTTGGTGTTCAGGATATTGTGCTTTTTATTAAAGGCCATTCTGCATGGTCTCGGCAGGACTCGGCACCTGGTGGAGCTAGAAACCACGATGCAGCCATCTGAGACCTTTACTGAGAGGCTGGGGCTCCCGCACGTTCCCTGGGGGCATGTGGGGACAAGGTCAATGCTCTCACCTTTGCAGAAGTGATGTAGTCGTTTTTCAGTTTATCCCAAACAGCTGGCGTTAACAGCAGGGACAGGTTTTCTGTCTTAATTTCTGGTTTGAGATCGGGGTTACCCAGAAAGAGTTCACTGGAAAGATTCAAAAGAACAAATTATGTGGCCTCAGAATGTGAGTAAACCAATGGAATATTCATGTGGCATGAGCTACATAATTATTAAGCTGTGAGAAATATACTTCAAGCTAAAATTGCAGTGCTTGTTTTCAAGCTTTAACAAGAAAATCTTTTCTCCCTATTCAAAATCTTAATTATTCAAAACCAAAATGATTTAAGGTTCCAGCCCACCTTAGAAATCATGAGACTTCTGAGTTGTTTGGACATGAAAAGTGCCATGCGAATTTACTTTTTAAAATAAACAACCTGAAGCTGATTCATTTGCCTCTGAGCCTGCAAAATGTCTTTCAGGGTAACTCCTGTAGCAGTGTGCTGCTTTGAAATTAGCTGATCTCCCTGGCTCCCCTCCAGTGTCACATCACTGCTTCTGTCAGGCTGCTATTTTCCCCTGTGCATTATCCCTAGCAACTGAAGGTGGCAAAGCAGGTCCTGCTCTGCGCAGGGCAGCCTCTGGTAGGCCCTCCCATGCCTGGAACATGGACCAGGGCAGTATCACGGCTTCTCCACAGATGGAAGCAGTTGGTGGATGTGCAGCTACAGAGCCTGACTCCAAAGTCGCTCAGCTGATGCATGATTTTATCACTCTCCTCTGCATTGCCCATGTAATCAGGCCAGCTGATTAGCAGGGAGGGAGGGAGTGCTTGTGCTTCTCCTTCTAGGGTGAGAAACCCGTTATTAGCCTGTACAATTGAACGTGCTACCCTTGCAATCTACCATGGACCATGGAAGCATTGTGTCTTTCAGGGTGATAGAGGTGGAGAGGAGAAAGAAGAAAATATTCGTGCACTTGCTGAATGTGGGACCTGAATTGCAAGCAGTAACCTGGTTAACAGGGAACACAGCTGCAATGTCCTACAAAAAAAAAGGACACCAGTGGATTTAAATACAAACTCTCCACCATGACTGAAAGGACTGTTTCAAACATACGCTGAAGGAGCTTATTCCCCGCTTTCTTTTTTTGATATTTGTTTGAATTGTAGCATCAATAATGAGTTTGGGTCAGACAATTTCTTATTTTTTGAGATTGGTCCCAAGAGGGGATGAATTTCTTACAGAATGGGAAAATCAAATGGAAACAGCCCAACACAGCAAGGTGATTGCAAGCAGTGCCCTAAACAGAGCAGGCTCTCAATAAGTTCTTTCACAGCAAGGTAGAGAAGTACAACAGGGGTACTTCTCTTTGGTGCAGAACCTGGCTGCTGAAGCTTGTTTCTTCCCCCTTTCCTGCAATATCGGGGTGCCGTACAGTTCCTGGGGCTGAGGATATGCACAAATTTCCCTCCAGAGGAGACTGGCAGGTGACATGTGAGGGAGAAGGGCAATGGGATGGAGTGTCATTCCCAAAGCAGTCCTGCCATAACACTTGTCAGCCAGTGCTACGATGCTGAGGGAGTAACACACGTGTCATCACAGTCACCACACCATAAATGGGGTTTTAGGAGCAACTGACAAGTTTACAGAGAAATCTTTTGAGGGCTGCTCAAAACAAAGACCATCTGCAGCACAAATGCTCCTGACCCAAAAGCTACCCCAGGCTAGGAGTGATCTGAGCAAGTGCTGCTGCTGCTTGCTCTGCTCCACCACCCTCCTCCCTGTCTATTTTTGCACACTGTTTGACTCAGTATTCCTACTTCTGCCTTCTCTCCCTCTTTTGTTTGTTTAAGGGGTGCCAGTTGGTTTGTGCTGTCCCACCACTGATCAGCTGGTTCAGGCCTGCAGACCAGCTACCGGGACTGACATGATTTTGCTTTGACGTAGCTCTTTTTACGTGCTTATTACCAGACCCATCTCCTGTGGACATTGCCTCTCTTTTCCTTCCCACCCCACTGTGTATATCTGTTGGGTTTTAGCCTGGTGTGATGGGCGGTAGTCAAAGCAAGTGAATAATTGAGGACACTGACACTCAGTGCCTGGCCCTACTACAGGTGCCTTAGATGTCTCCTTTGGCTGCAAAAGGAGGCAATGTCCAGCAGCACAGTTTTTACTGCTGTTGCAAAGAATTCCTGCCTTTACTCCAACACCCGGAGTGCCCTGAGTATGGTATTTGATATGTCCATACAGCTCCTAGAATACTTTAGTCACCCCTGGATTGCAGGGAGCTTTTAAAGGTCCTAAAAACTATGGTCCCCCTATTCAACCAGCAGGCATGTCCGAGCCAGAGCCTTTGTTTTAGTGTGGTCAATTACACATGGTGGTGTCTTGGCGCCTCCTCAAGATGACTGACCTGTGAGCATGGGGGGTAACATGGCTTCTTTCCAAACACATCAGAGTTTTAATTAAACAGGAAGAAGGCAGGGCTCCCCCACAGGTCCCTCCCTGTGCCTGGAAAAGTCACCAAGCAGCTGCAGGACCTTGCAAAATATTTGCAGAAAGGGAGTAGGTTTATCAGAGCTGCAAGGAGGAGCCTCCTGGAAATGGCTTCAAGCTGCGCCAGGGGACGTTTAGATTGGATATGAGGAAAAAATTCTTCACCAAAATGATTATCAAGCATTAGAACAGGCTGCCTAGGGAAGTGGTGGAGTCACCATCCCTGAAGGTATTTAAAAGACGTGTAGATGTGGCACTTAGGAACACAGTTTAGTGGTGGACTTGGCAGTGTTGGGTTAATGGCTGGACTCCATGTGATCTTAAAGGTCTTTTCCAACCTAAATGATTCTATAATTCTACGTGAGAACAAGTGGGAGAGGGAGGGGAAAACAGAGTAATTTAGATCTGTGGAAAGCAGCAAGTGCTTTATCCACAAACCTTTGTCCCCACCTATTAATAGATTAGCTATCTGGCTCTGCTGTAGAAGTGACATGTCTCTCCCCCTTGCTTAAAAAGCTGAAAATAGCTCAGTGTTCTTGAAGTGCCCTGTGGCCCTGCCATGCTCTGGAGGAGGCTGAGGCGGTGTGGCAAGTGCAGCAGCTTACCTGCAGTAAGTGTTGGCCACCCAGTTGAGCAAGGTGTAGAGCTCGTTGAATTCCAGCGGTCTCTGGGAGAGATCTTGCAAATGTGAGGCAATGGCCTTGTGAAAAGCCTCCACATACAAGTCACACACCTGGTACTCCTCCGGATAGCACTTTTGTACTGATAGCTTGATTTTTAGTAAGTCTTCACTCAGGTGTTTCTGGAGGAAACCCAAGTGAAGATTAAGCCAAGAACTGTCTTCTTCCTTCAATGCCATGGGTACCCTCAGGACCCTTTTTCTAGCACTCTCATTGACAGCTTCTCTCCACACCTCCTTCCACTTTCTGGGCATGCCAAGCGAGTCTGACCCAGGACCACCAGCACTGCCTGTGTTAGGATGAGCTGCTTCCTCGTAGGCAATTAAAGTCACCAGGGAGGTCAGCATGGTATCCTCTACAGTGGGATGCTCCAGTGTTCCCACCACAATGGCCTGGATCACATTTGTGATGGAGTTATAAAGCAAATCCACATCCTTGGATTTCCGTACAAACTCCTGGGGGTTATCTTTGTATTTCTCAGCATCCCGTTCAGTGATAGTCTCATCTTCCAAGTACTTGATGCTTGCAAATGCTTCTAAAAGCTGCCTTTTCTGAATAAGGTCATTGATTTCCATTACTGCAGAAAGAAGGGGGAGGGGTTGAGACAAAGCAGGCATTAGGTGATTGACAGGGGGTAACAGGACAAGGGGGCTCACAGAGAGGCTGCAATTTCCAGGTCCCAGCAGTGCCCCTAAGACTGAGCCCCCCAAATCTCCAGCTCCTGTTTGACACAGGAGACAAAGCAGTGGAAATGCAATTACTGCGAATTGAGCCACATCTCTGAACTGCTGCTTTCAGAGGTAGGAAATATCAAATAAAATTATTATAGGCCTGCAGGAAAACCTCAAGCGATGGCTAACGAGACTGCAGAGAGGGACACTAGCATCTCAAGCTGCATAAAACCACCTTTGGCTCTGCCTGTCTTTAAGTGCAGAGATGAAGTGGGACTGGCAGCAGGAACAGCTCGGGATATACCCTACCAGTAGGATTTCCTTTAGCATGGATCCCCTTGTTTCCCAGCACACCAGCATGCTCAGCACAGCTCTGCTGCTGGACTGGCCACTGCATTGCAGCCCAGCTCTGGCATCTCTGGCTTAAAAGGTGCTTTAGTGTGCTGTCCAAGAAGTCAGGGAGAGTGCCCAGGGTCTGGCTGGAGGGAGCACAGCAGGACAGAGCCCTTCGAGCCTTCTGAGCTCCTGGTCAGACACTAGATGGTCATGTCTGCCCCCACCCTACTCCCTCATGTCCTTCAGAGATACCAAGGCCCTGGGGGAGTGGGATACTGGCTTGGGCATGCTGTCCATACATTTTTGGGAACATTCCCAGTTCAGATGTAACCTTGGGCAAAGCCTGGGCTCCCCTTCTGGCTTGATTTTGTGCATTATCAAGTTTTCCTAAGACACATACACAACTAATATCACAGCTAAAGCTGCTCCTGCATTTCTGAGGGCTGAGCAAAATGCTAATGCAAACTGCAGAGGTGGTCCCTGGTGATTTGCATTATGAGGACTCCTTGAGATGTAGGGATCAAGGTAGCAAGCCAGCGACTAGCCCATCCGTGGCCTGCCACCCATTGCAAGCCTGTGCCTACCATAGCAAATGCCCTCTTAAAGATGCTTCTTACCTGTTCCAGACACTCAGATGTTCTGTGAATGCTCAGACTCCTCTCAGACAAAAAGAGGGACTTCTGCAGGTCCAGAAGCCACAGCTTTTCAGCTCTGCAGTTATTGCAGTCTGCACTAACCCTTTGGCTGGGGAATGAGGAGAGTCTCTGGGATGGTGATCCCAGGATCCCAGCAGGAGGAAATGAGAAACACCAAAATATGTGAAGTTCATCCTCCTGGTTTCAGGTTGGGTGACCTGGCTGTTCATCACCTGTATATAAACCTACAGTCAGATGCCAAGCGCTGCCTCTAGACAGGGACATTTGTTTTCCAAGTGGTGACCACTGCCTATTTGCCAGTAATATAAGAAGTATTTGTCATATATTGAGAAGATGCAAGAGCACTATTAGATTTTGAGACTCCCTGGGAAGATCTCACCATCTCCAGCATCATAACAGATGCTCTGAACAGGAGATCCCACTGTGATACTGGGCATAAAGCAAATATTAAAGAGGAGAAAGGAAAGGGTATTATTTAGGCATGTGTGGCTACTGCTTCTGGGACTCAGATATATAAAATGATACAGAAAAAATGGAGAGCACTCAAAAAAAATATATGGTTTGTTGTCCATAATTGATACCCTTGGGCTTGTATGCAAACAGATTTTATACCATATGCACCAAATCTATGCAGCAGAAAATATCTGTATGAAGACAGAAATATGCCAAATAACCCAACTATTGATGCACTATAGAAGGCATAGAGCTTTGAGTGCCTGTCTGGAGCTACAGTTACTTCTGTGCTCAGAGGGGAGGGAGACTGTGGCAAATAACTTAGCCTCTTCTAGATAAATAAATATAAAACCTGTGTTTGCACAAGTACTTGCAGTGAGAGACTAAAGGAATACATTCTGTTCTGTTTATCAAAGTGAGAAAATACCATTTAATTACTATCTAGGATAATTATTCAGGGAGGTGATACTGGGTGCTAAATGGATCTTTAATTTAGCAATAGGAGATCAGACAGCTGGTAGTTGAAGGAAGATAATTGAAAGGCAATTAACCATTATGCAGCTTAATGGTGCACATGGTGGAGTCTCTGTCGCTTGCCATATTTATCTCAGGATGGGATGTGTTTCTGGTAGAGCTGCTCCAGTCTAGGCCAAGTACGAGTTATTGTGCACAGTATGGGTCTTATTCATTCAATTCCTCAGCTTGTTTATTTGGAGGAGATGAGAAGAGCTTACAGTAACATTTCCTGTCACTCCTCATCTATGACCCTTTGAGAACAGACTTTCAAAGTTTATGAGGTGGGCTCAGATCCAGCTTAACAACCTCACAGTCTACCAGTGCAAAGCAGTAAATAACTTTATGGCACAGTAGAGCATATTACAGCAATGAGACAATGCCAGCCCTTATATCTGATCCCCATGCCATCCTATGCAGTAGACCAAGATTTTTTTTCTAGAAATTTAGGCTGAGGAAAGGTCAAGCATGTTGACCCACCTCAGTCTACCTCCTGGTGGATGCATTGTAGTGCCTCTGCCTTAAGAAGGTAGAGGAGAGCGGTGCTTAAACCAAGATCAAAGTCATTGTAGTTTGCCACACTTGGGGAAAAGCGAGAGCTATGCTGAAGGTCGTTATTATAATTTGACAAGGACCTATCTATATAATGCTGACAAAACACATGGGAGTAGCCAGCTGGAGGAAAACAAATCACATAATTACTTGCAGCACCGCTGGTGTGAGAAAAATAGATGGAAAGTCAGTGTAAGAGAGCAAAGTATCTGTGGAGGTCTCTTTGCAAAGCAGTCTCTAAGGTTAAGAGCCAAGGTGGAGGCTCCAAAACAGATCACATCCAGACCAACCTTTTTCCCTATCAAGACCTTGCAGCAAGACACAGAGTACATACTGCAGACTATCAGTCTGAGAGCTGAAGAGCAGAAATTTCCCAGAAGCACAATGCAGACAATAATGTAGGAACAGCCCATATTGCACTACTAGATATTGTCAGACCAGCAGCTCTCAAACTGTGCCCAGCACACTGGTGGCTGATAATGTATGGTGGGAGATATATCCACTGGTACATGAGCCGACAGGTTGATAGTTAGGCTGTTGATATGCTTAAACTAATGCAGTGGAGGCCACAGAGCAGCATGTTCAGTGGTAGGCAACCTGCCCAGGCTGAACCAGGTAACACCCCAATGAGTTTGTGCGAGGGGTGACAGCTGTCTCTACCCCATAATGAGATGCCTGTTCTTTAGCACCTCTGTTGGGCCCAGGATTTGCAGAGTGAATTACTTGAAGGGGACATGTATTACACTGGTTGTTTTGCTTCTTACCTGAAAGAGGTTTTCCTTGAATGGGCTCTGCTTCTATCTTCTCACTAACCTCCTGCAGGCCATTACAGTTCGTGGTTTTGTTCTCATAGCTCTTAGGGAATCGCAAAGAAAGTCGTTTTCCTTTCCAAGTGCCAGTAACTTCCTTTTCTTTCTCTTTGTTCAGACTTCGTTTTGATTTCCGGATACTTAACATTGTTTTAATACCTCTTTCAAAGAGCCCACTGTCCATGCTATGCAAACTTGGGCTGCTCAGCTTGGAAGCAACCCCCCTCTTTTCCTTTCCTGGACTGTTTGTTGGTTCTGAGGTCACACTCCTCGGGTCTAACTCCATATTTCTATTCATCATGTCTTTCAACAAGGGTGTTTTTCCAAATCACTGAAATGCATAAAATAGCACAATTAGGCTGTCTCCAGAATACAGTGTCTCCAAAGTCAGTCCTGGACTGAAAATGTGGTCCATCCCTTTCCTGTGCCTAATACAAGGACAGAGCAAGTCTTTGCTGGCTGTATCTACTAAAACAATCTCTCTACCCACAGACGCCAGGTGCTGGCCTGCTTTTAGCTCTGGAAAGCTCTATTTAATTCCATAAATCAGACAAGTGGCAGCTGTTTCTCCAGCACCAAGGAATCACTAAACACCAGAGACACTGATATCTGTGTAAATGTGCCATTTTGTTTTGTAACAAGATACGTTTTTGCTTTCCGTTCTTCTAGGTGGATTTCCAGCCATGTAGGAATGATAACCTTCCCTGGGTCTCACTGAGGTATTGTCACTTTCTCTTGTGGATACAGCAGCTTTGTGTTGCAGTGCTGTTTCTACCCTGCTCAAGCCCTGACCTGACGCTGCTGGAAGGTGACCCGTGGTCGAGCAGTGCCTGGTGTGTGGCTGAGCTCTTCTCTAGTCCCTTCAAAACCCGAGCAATCTCTGCTCTCCAAAACATCATGGTTACAGCGCAGGAGGCTATATGGTGCAGTAAGGGTTCACATCAGCCACATTTTCCCACAGCAGGCTCAAGGCAGCTCAGTGATAGGTTTAAATCATTAGAAACAGCTATTGTTTGAGGTCACCCAGGAACTGCCTGTCTCGGGTCTGTGCCGCTCACAGGAGCCAGAGATTGAAATGTGATTACAGTGAACAGGCATGCTGGGACTCTGGAAATAGATCTCATGCTTCTTTGATCTGAGTTTGGCCTGAGTTTTCTCCCTGGTGCATGATTATTTCACAGGCTATAAACTGCAGGGATTGCATCTTCCCATGGGTTTGCTGAGCCGATCACACAGTGGGGCTCAGACCGTGCGTCACACCCTCTCAGGGGAATATTCAATCATTCACTGTCTTGCTCAGCCGCTCAGCCCATCACAGCCTATTCAGAGGGTGGGAGGGAGAGGAGGGGACCCTATTTTCCAGAGATTTCAGTAGGAAAGAGGGGTGAGTCCCTAGTTCAAACTCCACATGGGGCTTCTGTGGCCAGAGTGGAGCAGCAGTAATGATCAAAGGGGTGAGCCAGGGAAGTGAGTGGAGGGAGCCAGGGAAGGAGGGCCATAAGATGTGAGCTCATGGACAAGGAAATAGAAGGGATACACAACCCGGTACTGACCACACCAATCCTCTCCACAGCGAGCTGGGATAACGCAGGCGTGATCCACAGAAACTGAAAGCAGCTCCGTGCCACAGGAGATCCCAGGGAGATGTGGTGGTCGGCAGGCAGCTCTGTGGGGCAGAGGTCCACGTGAGCTCATGCACCTCAACTAACTGGAGCAGCATCCTGCATACCTGCGCCGGCCAGGGAGCCAGAAATAGCACTACACTCCATCCTCCTTTGCCTTCTGGAAAAGGGCTTCAGAAGTGGGAGTAACAGGCCTGTCCCCAGACACACAAAACCTCCAGCACCTTCACCTGTTATCTCCTCAGGAGAGACTGGCACTGTTTCACTTTCATTCTACCTAGGCATTTAAAAGAAAGGAAGAGGTGTGTGAGGGGGGAGGAGCACTGAGCTAGTTCCAAGGTTAATTATTCACCTTGCAAGTGGGACCACAGGCTCAACAATGGGGTGAGCTGCTCTGCTGAGCTGCTGAGAAAAGTATTTTGGCACCTGGTCCTGCCCTTCTGGGGTGAAGCCCCATGGTGTCCAGGTGTGGGAGTACAAAAGCAGCCCCAGAGCTGCCATGTGGGAATGGGTGAATTTCACCCCCTTCTGTCTTGTTTCCGGAGGTCACGGGTGGCTTGGTCCCAGTAATGATTGCCAGGTGTGAGGGACTGGGAGCACTGTGTCCCGTGTTATGTATTTGTATATTCACCTCCCCACTCCTCACTTTGCCCCAGGGGCACTTATTTCCACAGGGCTGGATGCTGACCCTGGGTTCTTCCACCCCTCAGAGCTTTTGGGCACCATGGGGGGAACTCGAAGCAAAGGAGCAAAAGAGGGGTTCAGAAGGTTTAAATGACATTGAACAGTCACTTGGCTTGTCACTGTGTGTTGTGAGTGATTTAAGCCTGGGGAGCCTAAGGTGACTGGCTGGACACACTGGGCAGTCCCAGGTTGCCAAGGCACTGGTGGTAAAGCAGGAGAAGAGCACAAAGGAATTTCTGCCACTCCAGCCAGTAGATTGGCTTCATCAGGGACCAAAATTAAATGCCTCAATGCAAATTCACATGGCATGGGGAATAAACAAGAAAAGTGTGCATGCCTGAAGGGCTATGATCTTACTGGCGCCACAGAGAAGTGGTGGGATGGTTCCTATGCCTGGAGTGTTGGAATGGAGATACAGGCTCTTTAGGAAAGACAGGCTGGGGTGAGGAGGAGGGGGTGTTGTCCACTATGTCAGTGACCAGCTGGGGTGCACGGAGCTCTGCCTGGGGATGGATGAGGAGCTGACCAAGAGCTTATGGGCCAGGAGCAAAGGGAGGGCAGGGACAGGAGACATTATAGTGGGTGTCTGCGACAGGCCACCCAACCAGGAAGACTGAGCAGATGAGGCCCTCTTTAGACAGAGAGGAGCAGCCTCATGTTCACAGCCCTGGTCCTCTTGGGGGACTTCAACCACTCAGATATAGAATCATAGAATCATAGAACAGTTAGGGTTGGAAAGGACCTTAAGATCATCTAGTTCCAACCCCCCTGCCATGGGCAGGACACCTCACACTAAACCATCTCACCCAAGGCTCTGTCCAACCCGGCCTTGAACACTGCCAGGGATGGAGCATTCACAGCTTCCCTGGGCAACCCATTCCAGTGCCTCACCACACTTACAGTAAAGAACTTCTTCCTTATATCCAATCTAAACTTCCCCTCTTTAAGTTTTAACCCATTACCCCTTGTCCTATCACTACAGTCCCTAATGAAGAGTCCCTCCCCAGCACCCTTATAGGCCCCTTTCAGATACTGGAAGGCTGCTATGAGGTCTCCACGCAGCCTTCTCTTCTCCAGGCTGAACAGCCCCAACTTCCTCAGCCTGTCTTCATACAGGAGGTGCTCCAGTCCCCTGATCATCCTTGTGGTCCTCCTCTGGACTTGTTCCAACAGTTCCATGTCATTTTTATGTTGAGGACACCAGAACTGCACACAATACTCCAGGTGAGGTCTCACAAGAGCAGAGTAGAGGGGCAGGATCACCTCCTTCCACCTGCTGGTCACGCTCTTTTTGATCCAGCCCAGGATACAGTTGGCTTGCTGGGCTATGAGCACACACTGAAGCCGGCTCATGTTCATTTTCTCATCAACCAACACCCCCAAGTCCTTCTCTGCAGGGCTGCTCTGAATCTCTTCTCTGCCCAACCTGTAGCTGTGCCTGGGATTGCTCTGACCCAGGTGTAGGACCTTGCACTGGGCATGGTTAACCTTCATGAGGTTGGCATCAGCCCACCACACAAGCATGTCAAGGTCCCTCTGGATGGCATTTCTTCCCTCCAGCGTATCAACCGAACCACACAGCTTGGTGTCATCGGCAAACTTGCTGAGGGCGCACTCAATCCCACTGTCCATGTCACTGACAAAGATGTTGAACAAGACCGGTCCCAACACCGATCCCTGAGGGACACCACTCATTACTGGTCTCCAGCCGGGCATTGAGCCATTGACCACAACTCTTTGCATGCGGCCATCCAGCCAGTTCTTTATCCACCGAGTGGTCCATCCATCAAATTGATGTCTCTCCAATTTAGAGACAAGGATGTCGTATGGGACAGTGTCGAACTCTTTACACAAGTCCAGGTAGATGACATCAACAGCTCTACCCCTGTCCATCAGTTCTGTAGCCCCATCATAGAAGGCCACCAAATTGGTCAGGCAGGATTTGCCCTTAGTGAAGCCATGCTGGCTGTCACCAAGCACCTTGTTGTTTTTCATGTGCCTTAGCATGCCTTCCAGGAGAATGTGCTCCAAGATTTTGCCAGGCACAGAGGTGAGACTGACTGCTCTGTAATTCCCCGGGTCATCCATTTTCCCCTTCTTGAAAATGGGGGTTATATTTCCCTTTTTCCAGTCATCGGGAACTTCACCTGACTGCCATGGTTTTTCAAATATGATGGACAGTGGCTTAGCAACTTCATTCACCAGCTCCTTCAGGACCCGCAGATGGATCTCATCAGGTCCCATGGACTTGTGCACGTTCAGATTTTTAAGATGGTCTCAGACCAGATCCACTCCTACAGTGGGCGCAAGGTCTTCATTCTCACAGTCCCTGCATCTGCCTTCTAAGACTTGGGTGGTGTGGTCAGAGCCTTTGCCAGTGAAGACCGAGACAAAGAAGTCATTCAGAACCTCAGCCTTCTCCAAATCCAGGGTAGCCAGTTCTCCTGAGAGCTTCCGGAGCAGGCCTATGTTGTCCCTAGTCTGTCTTTTATTCACTATGTACCTATAGAATCCCTTCCTGTTATCCTTAACATCCCTAGCCAAGTTTAATTCTAACTGGGCCTTAGCTTTCCTAACCTGGTCCTTAGCTTTCCCGGACAACATCCCTGTATTCTTCCCAGGCTGCCTGTCCTTGCTTCCACTTTTTATAAGCCTCTTTTTCCCTTTGAATTCTCCTCAGCAGCTCCATGTCCATCCAAGGAGGTCTCCTGGCCCTCCTGCTGCACTTCCTTCTAGCTGGGATGCAACACTCTGAGCTTGTAGCAGGTGATCCTTGAATATCAACCAAGAGTCTTGTGCACCCCTGCCCTCTAGGGCTGTATCCCATGGAACCTTACTAGGCAGGTTCCTAAAGAGGCCAAAGTCTGCTTGCTTGAAGTCCAGGGCAGTGAGCTTGCTGCACGCTCTTCTCACTGTCCTGAGGATCTCGAATTCGATCATCTCATGATCGCTGCATCCAAGGCTGCCCTGGAGCATCACATTTCCAACGAGCCCTTCCCTGTTGGTGAGCACGAGGTCAAGCATGGCACCTCTCCTTGTCGGCTCCTCTATTACTTGCAGAAGGAAGTTGTCTTCCACACAATCGAGGAACCTCCTGGATTGCTTGTGCCGGGCCGTCCCATCCCTCCAACAGATGTCAGAGTGATTGAAGTCCCCCATGAGAACAAGGGCCTGTGAGTGTGAGGCTTTTCCTATCTGTCTATGGAGTGCTTCATCCGCAGGTTCTTCTTGACCAGTCGGTCTGTAACAGATCGCCACAGTAATGTCTCCCATAGCTGTATTCCCTTTAACCCTGACCCACAAACTATCTGTTAACTGCTCACCTGTCCCCAGACAGAGCTCCATACTCTCCAGCCTATCCCTAACATAAACAGCAACTCCCCATCCCTGTCTGCCAGGCCTGTCTTTTCTAAAGAGCCTGTAACCTTCCATTCCAACACTCCACCCCACTATGGGATGAGCCATCCCACTATGTTTCTGTGATGCCTATTATACCATACCCCTGCAGATGTGCGCACATCTCTTGGAGGGATTACACAGCAGGGCATAAGCCATCCAGGAGGTTCCTGGAATGCACTGATGATAATTTCCTCTTCCAAGCAGTAGAGGAGCCAACAAAGAGAGGTGCTATGCTGGACCTTGTTCAACAGAAAAGGAGGGGCTGATGGGGAGTGTGAAGCTCAAGGGGAGCCTTGCCTACAGTGATCACAAAATGGTGGAGTTAGAGATCCTTAGGATGGTGAAGATTGTGCACAACAAGCTTGCTACCCTGGACTTCAGAGAGCAGACTTTGGCATCTTTGGGGATCTGCTCCCTAGAGTTAAAGCCCTGGAGGGAAGAGGGGCCCAAGAAAGCTGGATTATATTCAAGAATCACCTCCTCCAAGTTCAGGAGCGATGCATCCTGACAAAGAGGAAGTCAGAAAAAAACACCAGGAGGCCTGCATGGATGAACAAGGAGCTCCTGGACAAACTCCAACACAAAAAGGAAGCTTACAGAGGGTGGAAGGAAGGACAGGTAGCCTGGCAGGGATACAGAGAAACTGTCCGAGCAGCCAGGGGTCACTTTAGGAAAGCTAAAGCCCCAGTAGAGTTAAATATGTCCAGGGACATCAAGGGCAACAAAAAAAACCTTCTATAGCAAAACATGAGCCGGCTTCAGTGTGCGCTTGCAGCCCAGAAAGCCAACTGTGTCCTGGGCTGCATCAAAAGGAGTGTGACGAGCAGGTCGAAGGAGGTGATCCTCCCCTTCTACTCTGCTTTCATGAGAGCCCCCCTGCAGTCGTGCGTTCAACTCTGGGGCCCTCAACACAAGAAGGATATGGACCTGTTCGAGTGAGTCCAGAAGAGGGCTACCAAGATGCTCAGAGGCCTGGAGCACCTC